ACAGTTGACGAATGATATTGTCTTGTAACTCGGCCAAAGATGGTTCATAACTTACTTGCATCTGTTCTTTGTGCGCTTTCTTGGAAAGTTTTTTTCTCTGGTGTATTATACATATTATAGACATTTAAACCAATACATAATTTAGTTTAAACTAAATACAAATCTTCTACCTCAGTTTCAAAGGCTGTCTTTTTACAGATTTCTCAAAGAACATTTTCCAGTTGTTTTCGTTGTCAAAAGAGATGCAGAAGTAGAAATAGCTTGCAAAACCTCCCAAAGAATCTCCAGTATTACTGCCCCCTAGAGGACGATACTGCAGTAGTTTTGGCTGAGTTTGACATTCAAACCTTTAATAAATGAATTTAAAATCAATACAGTCTTCTATTTCAACTTCAAAGGGTGTCTTGTTTCTGATTCCTAAATTAACATTTCAATTAAGGTTTTACTCTAATATGCAATTCAGTCCCTTATTTGTCCTGAGCAGTTAAACTGTCCATTATTCTTCAGAAAAACTCTCCAGGTCCAGCCTGGTCTCATGTTTATGCGTAGGTATTAATATGTAACATTTACAAGCACAAAACGTACACTTTTGTACGTTTTTAATCATGCTAAAACGTACAATTTAGACGTATTTCAACGTTTAAAACGTACAAATCGCTACGTATTTTTAGCTAAAAAACGTACAAATATTTACGTATCTTTTATATCATTTAGATATTCATATCAATGCATTTTTATAATTTTATCAATAAGCGATTTAGATTTTTAGACCCCTTAACCTACCCCCAAACCTAAACCTACCCATTTTATAGCGATATATATAAAGGATATAAAACGCAAATGACCGAAATACGCAGGAAAAACTTTTAGTAACTATATAGCATTAAAATATATTTATAGTCGCTAATTCCACTCCTACCTATAAGCCTAAACATTTCTGCACAGTATAAGAAAAACATGACAGACAGATAAATGCAATTAACGTTGTCAATGTCAAAAGCAGTACTAAAAGTAATCCAAATGACGATGCGTTGCACCCGCAGTCCTCTCTGGCGGAATACAGTAGGTTTGTGTGATCCGAGCAGAATTTATGTTGTTAATCGCTGAAAATATTATCCAGATAATTTTCCTGATCCACTCTGTGAACTCGTGAAGGCGCGCGCGCATCATTCAAACACACCTCACCAGAAACACGGCATGTCGCAATCTGTGACGAATGCAGGCGAGAGCCAATGAGCGTTCGATTATCCTGTCGTAAAACCTGTCGTTTGAAGCGGCAACATCTGAATTTGTAAAGAGTGCGTCAGTCAGGCTGGGCTTTGCTGCTCACGGTCACTGGACTCGCTGCTCGGGATGGAGAAGAAGATCGCCGAAAAAAGGCTTGGATTTGGGTCTGTTCCTCGCAGTCGTATGGATTCGGAAGCTTTGGATTACAGCGCACTAATAAAATTGTTTCATTTCGCAATTATGTTGCGTTTTTGGTGTATTTTATAGTTCTATTGTCAGTCACAGCATGTCGGAGAAAACGCCTTTTGTGGCC